ATTTTAGCTAGCCCACAGACCCAATTCTTAGAGGACTGAACTGATTTCTTTCTAGTACATGGTTTCTGGGCCTTCCTCGTGGTAACTTTGTCTTTCCATTCCCTCCCAATAAGTCGGCACTTTCTATCATGATGCACATTTGAAGTTATAATCGCCAATGCAACCATCAGATAGTAATTTATTGAATAAAGCTGAAAAGAGCAGTAAACAGATTAAAACAATACATCCATTTAAATTTTTTAAATGTGTGTATTTATAAACTTTAGTAACTGTTAAGGTTTCACATGCAGAGTTTAATGCACAGGAAAATGCTGGTAGTATAGTAATGTTTGGATGTCCCGAAATGCTGAAAGAAATGAAAAAATACACACACTCATTAAGGTATAGCTATAGGTCAATTAACAAACCTATAAAGTCCCCATAGAGTCACATTCTAGCTCTAATTTCTCCTGTTAAGCACAAGCAAGTTGCTACATCCTTTACAGTGTGGTTCACAGTCATTACTGATGGGGTTGAACTACAGGAGTAAGTTTACATATCCCTTTGTCCACAGGACCATCCATCTTATCAGGAAAGTATGCAATGTGCTTCAAAGAGTAAGAACCGAATTTTAAAGTTTATTTATTAATTATGAGCAAGAAAGACAGAACACATGAGTGGGGGGTGGGGGGATACAGAGAGAGAGAATCCCAAGCAGGCTCCACACTGTCAGGACAGAGCCCAAAGCAGGGCTTGATCTCAGGAACCCTGAGATCATGACCTGAGCTGAAGTCAAGCGCTGGTTGCTTAACCAACTGAGCCACCCAGGTGGCCCTTAGGTGTTTATTTTTGAGAGAGTGAGCAGACAAAGGAGGGGCAGAGAAGGAGGGACACAGAGGATCCAATCTCCCTGCTAACAGCAGAGTCTGATGTGGGGCTTGAACTCATGAACCACGAGATCATGACCTGAGCCAAAGTCAGACACTTAACCAACTGAGCCACCCAGGCGCTCTAAGAACAAAATTTCAAATATGAGTGGAGTAGTACCTGTGCAACATAGTGCAGTATTTTGCATAGAATGCTGCTAAAGCTAAAGCAGTCTATAAATTAAAATGGAATTCAACTCCAGAACTTTGAGCACTGTCTGCATAAGTGCTGTTTGACAAAAGAGATGAAATCGGCTATAGCGTGAGGCAGCATATAAGCAGTGTCCCACTGTAGGTTTACCTACTGTAGCAGTCTGTATGAATGACAGTTTATAAGCGTGCTAATATTAATATGTCCTTTCCCTAACTTTTTATGCTTTGTCTCTAATTTTGCAGAAAATGTATATTTTATTTATTTTTAAAAGATGTTTTAAAAGTTTATTTGAGAGAGAGAGAGCAGGGGAGGGGCAGAGAGAGAGGGAGACAGAATCCCAAGCAGACTCCGTGCTGTCAGTGCAGAGTCTGATGTGGGGCTTGAACTCAAGGAACTGTGAGATCATGACCTGAGCTGAAATCAAGAGTCAGACGCTTAACCGACTGAGCCACCCAAGGCTACGTTTTAAATCATGACATTTGTGGTGGACATTAGTGAACAATTTTTTTTTAGTTGAATACCAGGAGTCATTTTCATCTTCGACCTTCCTAATAAGACCCCAAGTTTATTTAATATCTGCCTGTCCCTTTTGTAGCCCAGCTGCCTCTGGACCAGCTGACCCCATGCTAAGCTCCAAGGATGGGCCCTGGATGGTTTAAGGCAGTGAGAATTTTTTCATTTATCCAGCCACGGCCATTGGGGAGAAGGTCAGAAACATGTGACACCAGACATAGTTTATCCCAGGCCTTTTGTTTGGAGTGCTGGGAACAAAGTCCCCCCCTCTTCCATGGTGGTTGTTCTGAGTAGATATGAAGCCTGAAACTGTTCGAGCATCTTTTTCCTGCTCACAGACTAAGCTGATGCATAAATGAGGGAAAGGGGGATGGAGTGGCCCAATGCCTCCCTTGTAGCTCTACCTCTCGATTTACAAATGTGTAATAAGTGTCCTTGTTTGAGTTGGATTCTCTGTTACTTGCCCCCCAAAGAAAGCATTCTAATTTAACATAACATGTAATGTAATAGGCCTTAGAGGTTTTTACAGTCATTATAGTAAGGTGTTAGCAAAGTTGAAGTAAACCTGAGTGTGTTCAATACACTATATCTTAACTGAATGTCTTCGAATTCTTTTTGTAAATTATTTATTCCATCGTTACTCACCCTGAGGATTCTAAACGTACCTGTTCTTAAGTACTTTATAGATTTGCTCTATTATTTTAATTTTGTCTAGATTGAATCCATCTTTTGACTATTGATTTTTGGATTGTCTTTGTTAGAATTAGCTTTCTTTAAAAAATTTTTTTTAATTTTAGAGAAGGAGAGAGAGAGAGAGAGAGAGAGAGAGAGAGAGAGAGAGAGAGAGAATCCCAAGCAGGTTTCATGCTCAGCACAGAGCCTAACAGGGGGCTTGGTCCTATGTTCCCGGATCCATGACCTGAGCTGAAATCAAGAATCAGATGCCCAACTGACTGAACCCCACAGGCGTCCCAGAATTAGCTTTTTTGAAATTTTTTGGAATTTTGGATTCTAGGCTCATCTTGATTGGAACGTTTTTCCTCTCTCTTTCTGTGATGTGTGTGTATCTGTGTATTGAGTGTGTGTTGAGTATGTGTATTCTTATCTTTAAGTCTTTCACAATCTTGTGAAGTAGGTATTATTACCTCCATTCTACGGATAGAAAAACAGAGGCTTAGAGAGGTATGTGATTACCAAAGTCTCATAGCTTGTACACTCTGCTAATGTGTTATCAGGACATTATGCTGTATTCCCTCTGCCAGGTGTCAGCCTGTCCTCCATGCACAGGATTTGGCTGGAAATTGAATTGGAGCATGGAAACCATATGTAGAAGTGATGGACATAATAACACGGATTTTCTCATACACAGTGCTTAAGCCTTTAGGCTTTTTTATTTCAGGATTTAGAGTTCAACGACAGATTTAAAAGTTTCCATTAAGTTTTTACAGAAATAAATGGGGTCTTTATTAAATTAATATTAATCTCTTCAGATGTCATTTCAACATATAACTGAGCCATAAAAATAATTCTATATTTAAATGTGAAATGATTATGTTTTGACTTTTCACAGCAAATTTGAAAGTCTAAATAAACATTTTAGACCTACCTCACATAGTGTCTGCTTGCTGCATCACTGCAGATTTTAAAGCATTTACTTAATTTTGCTATTTATACCCAGTTCTGGCATGGGGCCAAAACCCTCTGTGATCTAGCCCCAATCCTGCTTATCCTATCTTCCACACCTGAAGCACGAGCAAAACCAAAGTGCTCAGCATTCCTCTGATTTGCCTGCACTGTCCTCTCTACATGCCTTTGGTCAAATTTCTGCTCTCCTGCTCGCTAGCTGTGTCTTTGAGGGGTGGAGATGGCGGCATGGGATTAATTATAATTTTACCCCTTAGGTGTGTCATGAGAGTTAAATCCGGCAAGTACAGTGTTTTGCATGGTACTTACTGTATAGTGAGTGCTGAGTAAATGTTAACCATTCCTGACATTATCAGTACCATCACTGTCCCTATAACATGTCTCTCCCCCTAGAGTACCATCTCTCCCTACTTGCATATCCAAATTCTCCCCATCACTCCAGACCCTATTCAAAGTCTCCTGGAGAAAGTCCTTTAAAAAAATCTCTCCCTCCACAAAACTCCAGCATTCTATCTCTACTGCTCTGGTAGCACTTTCTTCCTTAGTTTCCATTGATTAGTGGTACAAATTAATACTTTGAAGTTTTTGGGGGACAAGGACCAAGTCTTTGTATTGCTGATTGCCCACATGCCTATAGGTGGCAGATGACAGTGTTTGGTAGAATGAATTCATTCCGTGCCCAGGTGTCAGGCAGCACGGCTTGCTTAGTGGCACTAGTGAAGTCTGCTAACAATGCTGCAAATACAAGAAATGTCCCCCTCATGGTATTTGCCACTTTTCTTTATTTTTTTTTAACAATAGTGTTTATTTTTGAGGGGGTGGTGGGGCAGAGAGAGAGAGAGGAAGACACAGAATCTGAAGCAGGCTCTAGTCCAACGCGGGGCTTGAACCCACGAACTGTGAGATCATGACATGAGACAAAGTCAGACACCCAACCAATTGAGCCACCTAGGTGCCCCATTGCCACTTTTCTTTAAATTTATTGTTTTCATTAATGTTACTGAAGCAATATTAGGATTGGGAACCCTAGGGATTTTCAGCTCCTGGCCATCTTGGCAGATTATCAGCCCAGCTGGCCTGCAGTTCACTCGGTGGTAGGGGAGGCAGCTTCTCCTGTGGCTTCCAAAGGCTGCCACCCAGTGTAGATTCCAGTATAGAGACCAGCCCACTCCTCCAACAAGCCCTCCCCTTTCCCCTGCCACCTGGACCTGGATGGAGGTGATGGCTGGGCCTTTTCCACCTGAGGTGAGAAGCATCCCTATTTGGCAGCTAGTCCCAGAGATACAGATGCAAAGAGAACCTGGCTTTTTATGTTGATGAAGAAAACAAGGGCACATTTCTCTCAGGAGAACTGCATGAGACAGCAAGGGAAGCAGTAACTCCTGGCCCTCATTTACCATCACCACACAGAGAGTCAAGAGTTTTCAACCCAAATATAGGGTCAGGTTTTAAACATGTACTCACCAAAGAGGTGAAAACAAACTGAGTCTTGATTCCTGATAGATTCAAATTCCTCTACTAAGCGGGCAGCCTCTAGGGAAGCAGGGTGGAGAAAACTCAAATGCTTGAATCTAGACATATAAACGTGTCCCACGTTTAGGAAAAACGTTTCACTGATAGCATGTAAGTGGCAACAGCTTAACCCACCCTGCTTAGAAAGAACTCTTGTGTGGAGCAATTTAACAGGTCTTGCTCAGCATTTGAAGGTGGACTAAATGAGACATCCATCTGAAGCTCTTTCAAACATAACCTGGACTATGAGTTAAGACAAATGAGGCTGGTACCTGAGGTACTGATTGCTGACTGGGGTCTTCCGGATGCAATAGAGAGGCGAAGGCTGAAAGATACCTTTAAGTTTTAGGAAGGTATTTTGGTATTGAAGATACTCCTTATTCTCATCTTTTTCCTTTGTACTTTGTTTCAGAGGAAATTTTGCTGATGAGACTTTTTGTTTCTTGATCACTTTTTGTGGCGACTTGGGTATTTTGCAAATGTACAGGGATTCAATTCCTGAAATGTAAACAGAATATACATCACTGAAAACCTTTAGTGGACCAGGGTATGTGTAGGCTGAGCTGTATGTGTTAAACTGGCTTCAATAATCTGGATGGTCCTTCATCCATTTACAGAAGGGCCTTTCTGTTGTTTCTCTTATTTTAAATGTACTTCTTGGTTGCCCAGGGGATACATAGCATCTATGTAATCAGAAAAATGTCTAGGTTATCAACAAATCTAATCCATGGGAGTTTGATTGTCTGTGCTTATCTTGTGCCAGATAATGTGCCAAACACTTTAAATGCACTATCCGACTGAAATAAGTTCCCTCTTGAGGTGAGTACTCTTATTTTCATGATATCACAGATAAGTCCATGTACATTCAGCTAGAAAAAGCCAGAACCAGGCTTTGAATAGATCTGTTTAATTTTGAAGACTGTGCTTTGACCATGCAATAGACCAGTGCTTCCTAGACTTTTTTTTAAAAGTCACACAGAAAATTGTAAACTGTTGACCCCTATACATGTAGATTCTTATCACAGGAAATATGATATAAAAGAGAAAATACAATGTATTGGTATGGCACGTTGTGGTAAACATGGCATGGCAGGTGGAATCAACTACCCAGGGGGCTCAATCACCCCAGCCCAGCCACTGCCCTAAGGGCTAAGGATATCCACTTCTTAGTACCTGTGTAAAACATTTGTGGCAAATCCTTTGGGAAACTCTACTGTATATAATAATGACTAGCAAATTATTTCCTCAAATGGAGAAGCTTACTTTTTGGATGTAGCTTACATTCAATCCTCATTATTCACAGATTCTGTGCTTATGAATTTGCCTACTTGCTAAAGTTTATTTGTAACCCTAAATCAATACCTGTGGCACTTTCACAGTCACTTGTTGATGTATACAGCTAAGCAAAACTTAAGTTGTATCTTGCATTTTCCCAGTTGAGCTTGAACAAGGTGATGCTCTGCCTTCTTGCTTCCACTCTCACGCTGTAAGCAAGTGTCCTTTACATGGTCTATTCAGTGCCAATGTTCTTGCATTTTTGTGCTTTTTGTTGGTGATTTTGCTATTTAAAATGGACTGCAGGTGTAGTCATCATTCCAAAGTGCAAGACAGCATTCCAGTGGCAAGGAGGCTATGATGGGCCTTATAGAGAATATACATGTGGTAAATAAGCTTAGCTCAGGCATGAGTTATAGTGCTATTGGCCATGAGTTCAATGTTAATGTATCAAGAAAATATATTAAATAAGGTGTCTTCAGACAGACACACATAAAATAAGGTTACATAATGATAGGCTGACAAAAATACTGTGACCAGAGGCTCAAAGGAACCTCATCCTGTGTTTATCCTAGGAGCAATGGTTCAAGATTGGCTAATTCAGTGTTTGTAGAGATTTTATAGAACCCAACTACTGTGAATAACGAGAATTAGCTGTGACCTGACTCTGTAATCAAACACCAGCTATGAGTTGACATTACAACAGTACATTCTAATGGAGTACACAGGCTTCTTCTCAACACAACAAATGAACAGAAGACATTAGCAAGGACTGAGGCTTTGGTGGGGAGACTGAACTATGGTGGTTGATGAGTAAGAGTATCTTCTGATCCAAAATATGAATATGAAAGTACCTTCCCTTGTGAAAATACAGAAGTGATCAAATAGATGATCTTCTCTAAAAAGAAAAAGGAAATAAAATTAAGGTCAGCTCCTTTGATTTTCTTGCTATGGCTAATCACCTGGACCCGAGATAAGAATCTATATGTATAGTGCTTTACAGTTTACAAACTTACTACCTTGGGAACCATGGAAGGAAGAGGCATTCAAATGTTGATCCTCTGGAAGTCTGAATGATGGGAACAGGTTATATGGAGCAATTCAGTGGATTCCATAACTGACCTAAAGCAAATCTGTAGTAATCCAGCCAGTGAAGTAGGATGTGCTTGACCTTTTTCTGCAGTCTTCTTAATTTAATAACTGTTGTGATGTCAGACATAGGGCTTATGTCCATTACGGGATCAAACGTAGCTATTTTCATTGTGTCTGTTAAACTTGAAGGCTTCAAAACAGGAAATTACATATATAGTATAATTCATATAGACACTTACTATATGGTTATAAAACATTAATTCATTCATTTGTTCATTTATTTATTCATCATTCAGTAGCTTGTCCAACAAATGTTTATCAAGTAACATTCACAATCAGGCACTGTGCCAGAAACTGGGATTACAGATACATATAAGTCATGTTCCCTTGTTAGAATACTTCATGCCACTGAATTATGCACTTAAAATGGTTAAAATTTTATGGTTTAAGTTTTATGTAATGTATATTTTATCACACCAAAAAATGGGTAAGAAAAAGCAGTACTCCCTATCCTCAAGGAGGTCACAGTCTGTGGAAGAAGTAGATGGGTAAATGATTGCAATTAAAAAAATAGAAATATCATACGATCCAATAATTCCACCATGGGGTATTTACCCAAAGAAATAGAAACACTAATTCAAAAAGATATATGTACCCCTATGTTTATTACAGTATTATTTACAATAGCCAACATATGTAAGCAACCTAAGTGTCCATCAATAGATGGATGGATAAAGAAGATGTGATAATATTCACAATGGAATATTATGAAGCCATAAAAAAGGATGAGATCTTGCCATTTGCAACAAAATGAATGGACCTAGAGAATATTATACTAAGTGAAATAAGTCAGACAGAGAAAGACAAATACCATATGATTTGCTTATATATGAAATCTAAAGACAGGGGCGCCTGGGTGGCTCAGTCGGTTAAGTGTCCGACTTCAGCTCAGGTCATGATCTCGCAGTTTGTGAGTTCGAGCCCCACGTCAGGCTCTGTGCTGACAGCGTGGAGCCTGTATCCTGCTTCGAATTCTGTGTCTCCATCTCTGTCTGCCCCTCCCTTGCTCATACTCTCTCTTTGTCTCTCAAATAAATAAATTTTACAAAAATTAAAAAAAAAGAAATCTAAAAACAAAGCAAATGAATAAACAAACAAAAAGTAGAATCAGACCTATGGATACAGAGAACAAACTGAAGACTGCCAGAGAGAAGGGGGTGGGGGAGGAGCAAAGTGGGTAAAGGGGAGTGGGAGATACAGGTTTTCAGTTATGGAATGAGTCAGTCACAGGAACAAATGGCACAGCATAAGGAATATAGTCAATGATATTGTTACAGGGTTGTATGGTAACAGATGGTAGCTACACTTGTGGTGAGCATAGCATAAGGCATAGAGAAGTTGAATCACTATGTTGTACCTCTGAAAATAATGTAACATTGTGTGTCAGCTATATTAAAATGAAAACAAAACAATTACAATACAGCACAAGGGCATGGTTAGAAGCACAGAAAGTTACAAAAGCTTAAGTAGGAAATTTAACATTTGTAACATTGAGTTTCTAATTAGCAGAAGAAAGTTTCAAAGAAGTACATCATGAGGCTATTAAACTTTAAAATATATAGTTATAGTGAGAAGTATATGTGATCTTTTCACAATAATTGGGTATATAGTTACTTAGGTTTGGATGAGCTTATGTGACTAGGAAAATTGTTGATAACTCAGTTATATATATATTAATTAAGTATACATAATTATATGGACATTTTCATATTTACATATAAAATATGTACATAATTGTATACCTAACTCATTATCCAGTTGTCATTTGCTTAATTTTAGTGTGTTATGACAGAGCCTGATGAAGATATGAAACATGAGCAGAACCTAGGAAGAATTTATTTTTTTTAATGTTTATTTTTAAGGGAGACAGAGAAACAGAGCATGAGAGGGGAAGGGCAGAGAGGGAGGGAGATACAGCATCTGAAACAGGCTCCAGGCTCTGAACTGTCTGCACAGAGCCTGACATGGGGCTTGAACCCACAAACCATGAGATCATGATTTGAGCCGAAGTTGGACGCTTGACTGATTGAGTACCCCTGGTGCCCTTTACCCAGGAAGAATTTGAAGAAAGTACAGAATTCAATGACATGAAGAATTTAATGAAGTGGGTAGCAAGAGTTTTAAGAAATTTGGTCTACAGAAATCAGATAATATAGTTGAGATTTTAATTTGAATCTGGGAGAAAGCAACCCTATCTGAAGGGCTCAGGCTTGAACTCCCTTGTTACAATGACTCTAAAAAGGACTGAGAGAATCCACCTGAGATGTTGATAAAAATTACCTGAAAACATATGTCTTAGGTCCTGAGTATCAGTCTCAAAAATTTGGTGGATTAAATAATCCCTAGAAAAGTTTAGAATTCAAATAGATAAAGTAATCTGACAATGTTAAAACTTTAATGTGTGTAAGTGAATTTTGAATCATTGGGATAATATTGTGTATTTGTTACATTTGAAATATTAAAGAAATTTTGGTAAATTAGAGAATCTAAGGTGACTCTTGGGCTTTCAATTTAAATTGAGCCAACTGATTTTAGACTTGTGATTATTAAGTTTTAAAGTTGAAGATAATTTGACTAAGTTCAAAAATATAATTAGAATATTTAAGAGAACTTGAGATACCCCCCAATTTAATTTGCTTTACAAAAATTAATAACTTGAGAATATTTTGCTTAGTGTTATAAATATGCATTTGAGGTACTTAAAGGGGAGCAAGATATATTAAAAATATAAACACTTTAAAATATATGAGATTGTGGGGCACCAGGGTGGCTCAGTTGGTTAAGCGTCTAACTTCCGCTCAGGTCATGATCTCACGACTCATGAGTTTGGGCCCCGCATCAGGCTCTGTGCCCACAGCTCAGAGCCTGGAGCCTGCTTCAGATTCTGTGTCTCCCTCTCTCTCGCTGCCCCTCCCCTGCTTATGCTTTGTCCCTCTCTGTCTCTCAAAAATAAACATTAAAAAAATTTTTAATATATGAGATTGTTTTTCATTAAGTTGTATGTGAGTCTAATTTGGAACTATAGTCAGTTCAATTTGAGTTAATCAAACATTAATTAAGAAGAGGTAAAGAGGGGCGCCTGGGTGGCGCAGCCGGTTAAGCGTGCGACTTCAGCCAGGTCACGATCTCGCGGTCCGTGAGTTCGAGCCCCGCGTCGGCTCTGGGCTGATGGCTCGGAGCCTGGAGCCTGTTTCCGATTCTGTGTCTCCCTCTCTCTCTCTGCCCCTCCCCCGTTCATGCTCTGTCTCTCTCTGTCCCAAAAATAATAAAAATAAACGTTAAAAAAAAAAAAAAGAAGAGGTAAAGACAATTGTTATTTTATTTTATTTATTTATTTACTTACTTACTTATTTATTTATTTATTTATTTTTGCTGGCGACAATTTTATTGTGTTTACAGGTTGAGGGGCAGGAGGCCTCTCCCACCTCCTCCTCTCTGGCCCTGAAGCACTGGCCCAGTCTCGGGGTCTTCTTCGTGCACCCAAATGGAAGGGGAACAGGAGGGGCCCCAGGCCTGCAGGTCTCTCTGGGAACATGGACAATTGTTATTTTAGTAGAGTTTATAGATAAAATAATTAGATTTTTAATAGCCTTAAACCTTAATGCAAACTGGGTTTTTATATAGGTCACTTTAATAAAATGAATATTAATTTCAAAACCAAGTGATTGCATTTTTCTACTCACAAAAATCTCTTAGACATCAAAACCTTTCACCCTGGTTCCTCGCTTTTGAAAACTTCTCCCTATCACATGTTTACTGAATTGGTTAATTACAAGCAAAGCAAATTTCTTTAGAGGTTTCCTTTTAATAGAATAAAATTGACAAAATTCCCCAAGAGTTGGTAAAAACCAGAATTTGCTAACAAGGGAAGATGATAAATGGAATTGATGAAATGAGATAGTTCACAGGCATGACCAACATCTGTGAGAAATACATTTTTGAAAATGTAAAAGCAGAAGGAGAAAGAAGCATTTTTTTCAAATGATTAGTAAATGTGTTACTAAAGAGGTAAGTAACACATGAACCTAAAAGTTCTAAAACATCCTGTCTCTCTCACAAGAACATAGTACTCCGGAGGAATTATTTCTTTGAGTTTGTATAACAGACTGAGACAGAAGAACAAATAGGTGATAAAAATGAATAAAATAACATGAAAAAAAATAAACCCTGCATTTCCCCTTTCTGTACCATTTCAAAGAATAAGGGCTCATAATTGGATGATTTGGCAACATATTCCAGTCCTCTCAAATTCATGTTGCTTGCTGTATCCATTTGATGTTCAAAGTGAGACTCTTCTGCAGATCTCTTCTTCTACTTGACCCTATGCTGAACCTTCCTCTTTTTTGACATTTTTTTTGTTTTATCAACTTTTTAAAGGTATAATTTAAATATAATAAACAGCACCCATTAAAGTGTATTATTTGGTGAGTATTGACAAATGTGAACACCACCATAATCAAAATCTAGAGCATTTCCAACACCCCCCAAATTTCTCTCCTTCCCCTTTGTAAGCAATCCCCCCCGGACCCAGAGGGTCTTAGAGTTTCACATGACTGGAGTCATATAGTATACAGTCTTTCATTTCTGGATTCTTTTTGCTCAGCATACTTTTTCTAAGATTCATCTGTTTTTGTGTATCAGTGGCTCATTCCTTTTTATTAGTGATATTCCATTGTATATATATATATATCATTCATCAGCTGATGGATGTTTGGGTTGTTTCCAGTTTTTTAAAATTATGAATATAGATGCTACATTCATGTAGAAGTCTTTATGTGAAAATAGATGGCTGGCCTTGAGTAAATAAATACCTAGGAATGGAATTGCTGGGTCACCCAGTAGGTATAATTTTATAGAATGCTAAAAATTTTCCATATTGGCTATACCATTTTACATTTCCTCCAGCAATGTATGAAAGTCCTGTTGTTTCACGTCCTTGGTAACACATGGTATTATCAATCTTTCATTTATAGCTATTCTAAAGGGCATTAGGTGGTAACTCATTATGGTTATAATTTGCATTTCCTTGATGACTGGAGATGTTGCATATATTTCTACGTGCTTTTTGGTCGACTGTATCTTAGTTTTCAAAATATCTTTTCAAATCTATTGCACATTTTTTATTGGGCT